TTTTTGGTATGTTATGTATAAATTAATCGTTCCCAAATTCCCTGTTTCTTTATTTTTATTTGACTAAGTGAATTTGTTATTAAATGGGGGTGGAGTTGTTGGTGAGTAGATGTGCCACCAACAAGACAGCAACCCAGGCCTCAAAACTTCGAATTCAGGGAAATCCAAAACAGCAACTTCCAAGTTGCTGAATTTTCAAACCAGCTACTGACATACAAAGCAATCATCACACAAGTACCAACTATCATCAGCAATCAATGATCATATGGTAGCAGTCAAGCCTGGTCTGAGGGGAAGTTAAAAAAAGTTTTGAACCTTACAAAAGCCTTCCAACATGTTTTCACCTTACCTGTGGAATAAATTCCATGGTTATGAGGAGGTGTGAAAGCACCTGTTGACATGTTTGTGATGGGAAATTTTTTATTAAATCTGACACCTGTGATTAATATCAGATTTATTATTCTATTCATAAGGAACCTTATATACAATGGGAAGGGAAATATTTTTTTTGATCCTCCCTATTTATTTATTCATTCTTGTGAACCCCAGAGATCTGGGTAGACACGCATTATTAAAAATTTCATTTATGCATGGCCTTGGTATCATTACTGCCTGGGTGATGCAATTGTTTGTTATGTCAATGATGATATCAAATGTATTGAATAATAATCATGACCATCATGAATATTTGATCGATGGAGGCATTTTGTAAACATTCAAATAATTATCACTTAATTATTTAAACAATGTTAATGAACAGGTAATTTAATTGTTGTTAAATTAAAAGTTATCTTTATTTTATTTGAATTTAGATTCTTTAAATAATAAAATTACAATTCTTAATACAAATATAGATCATGAAAGAAATAAATAAAATTATAATCTCTATATTGTATGGAAGCTTATAGACTTCCTGGAAAGTATTAATCTTAAAAGATAACATTCATAAATAAATATAATATAATAATAACAATAATCATTATACACCATTGCCAAAACTCCTAATAAAAATATCAATAATTCAAGGAAAATAATATTCATATTCTTCGAAGTAAAACACAATAATCCCGATTGCCAAATTAGTAATAGCAAATTTAAACAAAGCAAGTTTTTCTACATTACTGAATATGGTATAGATTATACATGCAGCCCAAATTGGTTTGGTGATTTTGATGGTCAAAATTATTCCAATTTTGATGGTAGAAAGTAGAAATTAATTACGGCATTCACTATTAAAAACATAAGTGTAACACCCCTTTACTACACGTGTAACCCCCTTTATGACAGTGTCAAAATACTTTGGGCTGCATGTATAGTATAGATTAATTGCCTAATTTCGACTAGAATTATTTTAAGACAAAGTCATGTTTGTTTTGTTAAAGATGATGATTAATTGTATTTATACAATATACAATAAAAAAATTGCCAGAGTGATTGCATGGAATCCAAGGCTGGAACAATCACACTATTACATGTTCCAAGGTCAATCAAACAATTATTTGAATCCATTGGTGCACTTTTGAAATTTTATTGAAGGGGGTTAGGTTTGTATGCAATTTAAAATTTTTTTATGTTAATTCAGAGTTCCATCTTTCTTTGCTCTTGTAGTTTGCATTTTACAATTCAAGTTATTACCTTAATGTAATAATCATTATATCAAATTAATTTTGAAGTTTCAAAAATTGATTATTTTAAAAAATATAAATTTCTACATTTGTAAGAGTTACTTTTCAACAAGATAAATTATAAGTATTTTTGAACAGGTACTTTAATTATTGTAAAACTACAAATTACCTTTATTTCTTAGAGGATAATCCTTTTTATGTTAAAAATACATAATAATATATAAATAATAAAAATATAAAATAAACTATATAATTAATCTTATTGTTATAATCTATTTGGAAGATATAATAATAAATAATAATTGATTATCTCAATAAATTTTACATCTATAAATATAATCATTACATGTGATTGTTACAGCAATAATAACAATGTGTGGAAAAATTTATTGAAGGTAGTCAATTTTTTATTAACTTTGTTATTATTTCATTTATTGTTTGCTTTTTAAGATGTCTTTTGCCATAATTATTTTTCATGGGAAGTTGGTAAATTTTCCAATTTCTTTTCACAAGTCATTGAACAATCATATTTTTTAAATCATTTACCTAAAACTATTCTATTGATTCATCTAAGTTTAATTCCATTCATATACTTTCCTTCAATTTTAAAACAATTATAAAAAACTACAAAGTGAA